GAAACAGACCAAAGGAGGTGGAGGAGGAGGAGAGAAGGACAAGACAAAAGGAGGAGGAGGAGGAGGAGGAGGAGGAGGAGAGAAGGACAAGACAAGAGGAGGAGGAGGAGGAGGAGGAGAGAAGAAGAAGGTGAGAGGAGGAGGAGGACATGTATGGGATGGCGGGAAAAAAAAAAAAAAGAGGACGATGAAGGACAAGGAGGAGGAGGAGAGAAGGAGAAGACGAAAGTAGGCGGAGGAGGAGGAGGAGCGGAGAAGAAGAAGACAAGAGGAGGAGGAGGAGGAGAGAAGGACAAGACGAAAGGAGGAGGAGGAGGAAGAGAGAAGAACAAGACGATAGGAGGAGGAGGAGGAGAGAAGAAGAAGAAGATGAGAGAAGGAGGAAGAGGAGGAAGAGGAGGAGGACCTGCTGGTAGTGTATGGAGATGACGGAAAAATCATAATAATAATAATAATAATAATAATAATAATAATAATATAATAATACTCTCAAATACTATAAAGGAAGAAGTGGGTCTCGCGTGACGGGCCCAACCGAAACTGGGCGCCGCCACGCGGGCCCGCTCCGAGGTAATGGGGTGAGGGGCAACCGGCGGCGCGACCCGTCGGTCCGCGAGCCGGTTTTTAGTGGAAGCCGACCCGGCGGATCTGAATCTATGCACCACCACTTTTTTTTTTCACGCGGCGGTTTTGAATCTGTCACGCATGGTCGCGAAGATGCACCGCCACTTTTTTTGTTTTCGTGAGTCGTGAGTCCATCTTCGCATTTTTGTTTTTTTCGGCTGCTTGCTGAGCGCGGGCTGGCAACACGCTGCGCGAGCGCTTACTGCATGGCTTGATGTATAAGAGGGGCGCAGGGGGGGTGGGAGGCCGACGCGCGGACAAACAAACGGAGCGGGTGAACCTCGGCAGGCGGGAACGGAGAGGGTGCGAGGGTGCGACGAAACGGGGGTGTAGGGGCGTAGGACGAACGAACCGCGGGCAGTGAGAAGGACGGAGAGAGAGAGAGAGAGAGAGAGAGAGAGAGAGAGAGAGAGAGAGAGAGAGAGAGAGAGAGAGAGAGAGAGAGAGAGAGAGAGAG